ACAAGCGAACACTGATTTTCCAATCTGAACAGAGAGGACAAACTTTCCAGGATCGTCTAACTTTTTGATCAGTCTGTTCTGAAGAACTGCACTGCATTCCTTAGACATTAGCATCACGTTGTTGTCTGCGGAGATCTTGCTAGAAACTAATCCCTTTACAAGGCTAAGCATCGAAGGAATCATCTGAATCGCATTCATAAGGGAAAACTTAACTGTCAAGTCTTCTAGCATCTTTTTGCACTTCATCTCTTCGCAATCCTTTCGTGATTTCTTTGCAGGAACATAGTAAGGAACCTTCGGACATACACGCGAGTGGGAACAAGTGGTACTTGTGTAGCAGGAGCTGCGGGTTCTGTGACAGTCGGCTGTTCCACGTCCTGTTCATCTTCGTGAGTTTCCTCGAGCCTAGGGTGTTCACCTTCTTTTTGCTTCCCTTTCTCTCTTGTAGTGAGTTTCTTTGGGATTGGTCCTGGTAGTTGTTTTCTACTTCTTAACTCAACCGCATTACAGTCCTTGGGGTTCTTGTCTGTCTTCCCAGGGAGTGTTCGTTGTTGTCTCTTAACAGCTTCAGCAGTTTGGGCAATCTGAACATCCATTTTCCTTATGTGACTCGCTACAGCATCATACTTGGAGTTTAATTTCGTGAACATGTTATCCATCTTAGTGTTGATCTTATTGGTGACCTGGTTCAGAGCCTTCCCTTGAATGTGCTGACCTTGCAGAAGCTGTTGCATCATCCCCTTTAGTTCATCCGGGGGACCGCTCACGTTTGCTGAATTAGTTTGCGGATTGGTCTGTCTATTCTGATAGTGGTTCTGAGCTTGGCTGAGGACGAACATCTTTCCATTCTGATTCTGTGCAAACGGTTTCTGATATCCGGAATTCTGAGGTTGGTTTCCTTGAGGTCTGTCGATTGGATTTTCTGAATTGTTCTTGTATGAGAAAAGGTGCTGATTGTTCCTCACATTAGGATTTGGATGGAAGTTCTTGATCTGCCATCCTTGACCATTAACATAGCTGACCTCCTATTGGTCTGCATCTAGTGTTCCTGCTTTAGTTGTTGTGTCAGCGGATGTTGGGTCAAGAGAACCTTCCTCCAGGACGTAGATTTGATTCTGGTTATGTTTGAGCAGCTGGTCCATCTTAGCGGCTATATCATCAATCTTCTTAGTGTCCATGCTGTTCACCTTTTTGGAGCTGTCGATCTCTACGTTTTTGTTTGACGCACTAGCTGCCATGTTTTCTATCAAGGCATTTGCTCCTTCAGTAGTTTGAGTCATAAAATCTCCGTTACTAGCAGCATTCAAAGCATTGCGGAACTCCCATGCAACCCCATCGTAGAAGATTCCAAGAACGTGGTCATCATCGAAACCGTGATGCGGGCAGTCTCGGAGGATGTCGTTGAAACGCTCCCACGCTTCATTAAATGGCTCATCAGAGAGCTGCTTGAATGATGTGATCTTGTTTCTCAACGCAGCTGTTTTCGCCTTGGTGTAGAAGTGATCTAGAAAGGATGCTCTGACTTGTTCCCATGAAGTGAGGGAACCCGTTGGCAAAGATTTGAGCCATCTTGAAGCCTTATCTGCTAAAGAGAATGGAAATAACATGCACTTGATGAAATCTGGTGGCACACCGTTTGCACGAGTGAAACCGCAAATCTCTTCAAAAGCTTCAATGTGTTCCATTGGTATTTCAGCTGGTAACCCATGGAACATCTTTCTCTGGACCAGATTGATCATGCCAGGTTTGATTTCGAAATCCGCTCTTTGGCATGCTGGTGGAGCGATAGCAGAACGCGTTGCAGGAATGTTACGCGGTAGGTTTCGTTCTCCGATCGGAACAGGTTGTTCCACACGTGCTGCCTGTTGAGCAGCTAGTTGTTGTGCAGCCATTGCTTCCTGCATTTGTTGCATCTCTTGACGCATCTGTTGCATAGAGGCTGCTACTTGTTCTGGTGTACTGTAGTCGCCCATGTTGACGTTGGTCGATCTTTGTTGTTGACGATTTGTTCTTTCTAACCTTGCTAGCTCCTGATTTGAAAGCGTGACTAACTCTCCTTGTGCGTTTCTCCGAGTATGTCTACTGGTCATGCACTTGGTTCATCAGCCTGCAATCAAAAAGGATAAGCAAATTAGAAGTTTTAGACTAAATAAATAACCGAAAAATAAAGGTACAAATCTGGTCCTCGTCGCAACGGCGCCAAAACTTGATACACTAAAATTGGATCTTTATCTACTGTCAAGTTAACAGTGTAGTTGTAATACGTTTAGATTCAATTCCAGAGGACCAGTCTACACTTTATCTTTATAGGATCAAAATATAGCTAAAACAAAGGGGGGTTGTTAAAGTAAAAGAAATAACTTAAAAAGCAAGTAACAAACGAGGTTGTTTTCAAGAGGTTAAAGGCGCTAGTCTAGGGTTTCCTAACGGGAATGGAGTTCGCAAGCCGAGATACTATTCAAGTTCGATATGTGCTAGTCTAAACTCGGATCACTCTGTTTGAATCAACCCACTGCCGTGGTGTTGATTGCCTTTGCTGATTTCCCTTGATACCTAAACTGTCGTTTGGATCAAGACAAGACAACAAGCTTTAGAGATCAAGTCCGGTAAGTTCACAGAACACCCTAGTATTTACTCTCGCTGACTAGGGATGTTAAGCTCATTCAATTCGTATTAGATTATCGATCAACGGTTAGCTAAATCAATTAATCATGGTTCATGCAACAAGTGATCAATTTGATGCAAACATTAAGGTAAGAATATGAATGTAGACAATCTTAGGTTAACTTATCTAAGCTCAGCCAACGAAACCAACCATAGAACCCTAAACTAACTTGGTGACTACTCAGACATAACACAAGAACAGAGCATGATTTCTGAATAATACTGCATGTAAAATAAATAAGAAATCAGAGGATTCAGGATGATCTTCTCAAGGAGATAGATGAAGCCTTCTCCCTTACAAGTAGCAATCGCTCAAATCAAAGCTCTCAAGTCTTTCTTGCGTAAAAACCTAGGTCAAAAGCCTAGGAAAATTAAAGGGGAATATATAGTAAGCCACAGGCGGAAGAAGATAAAAATAGGGAAAACTACGGCAAATCCCGAAATAGAATCTTTATTTCCTAGATCGTCGGGGAACAGTTTGTCAAGCTATTCCGATCACACGAGAACATCTTGCCAGACTGTTCATATCAAGAAAATCTTCAAAACAGGTTCTTTTCTTGTCTTTTCTTTCCACACGATCGTTCTCCTCATCTATGGAACTCCTCAACCTGTAATGACCTCAAAGAACTAGAAAGACTCGATAAAACCATTAAAAACCACTAGTAGAAAGTACTTATTTTTATGTCAAAAACACACTATATCAGCTGCACCTATGGTCTTCTGATTAACTTCATTGGATAGGAAGGACCGAGGAAAATGGAGATCCATATAGCTTATACCGTTGACAGTATATTGGCCCGTGTCCTTTTGGGTAAATATTGTCATGACCAAAGCTTCTCCACAGTCCCTTGAGCCGCTTCATGCTCACATGGTTGGTGTGGGGTGTTGAAGGGTCAAGACTTATTACTTAAGCACTTGGGAAAAACCATACGCAATGGAGAGTCTACCCGTGTCTTGACAGATTCATGGATCTCAAATTCCGAGCACATACTGCCATATGCCCCCTCCCGTGAGATTGATCAAGACCTTGTTGTGGCAGATTTCCTTCACCGAGGATCAGGACTGTGGAACAAACAAAGGGTGGAAGCAGTCTTACCCGAACTCGCAAATCAAATTTTCTTGATCCACCCCAGTTCCACAGGAGCAAATGATGTGTACTATTGGCATCGATCTAAGTCAGGGATTTATAGTGTTAAATCAAGGTACTATGCCATAGTTGAAAGAGAGGTCCTTCCATCACACCCAATTCCTACGATCCAATCTTTCAACTAGACAAACATGTATGGTCAACTCATACATCTCCAAAGCTCAAACTCTTACTATGGAAGTTAGGCCATGGTACCCTTCCTTTGGGATCGAACTTCCAGGCTAGAGGCCTAACTCCCCTGACGACATGCCCTCATTGTGGAGCTATGGAGTCTGCGATCCATCTCTTTTGGGAATGTCCGTTCACACCACAAGTTTGGAATTGTGCACCGCTCGCTACGCTTCCCGACATCACCAATACAACATCATCACTACATCTCCTCATGATGGCGTCATCTCTAAAATGTCTTCCACCCACATGTATAAGCATTGATATTTTCTCTTGGATATGTTGGAATTTATGGACCACGCAGAACTATCTGCTGTTTGAGAACTGGTCGATCTCTGCTCGTGTTACTATGACAAATGCTATCAGTGGAGCTCGAGAATGGCTAAATGCCCAGGATAACAGCTGAACTCAGAACCGACTTCCACCTCGCACTCAATCACCTTCATATCTACCATCTGAGGTTATCCCCTGCAACTCCGATGCAGCTTGGAAGAGCGACTCTCTCACAGCAGGACTAGGTTTGGATTGTTTACAATGACCAGGACCACCCCATCCAAGGATCCTCAAGCTGTCATTTCGTGCCAGCACCCCTCCTAGCGGAGGCTCTTGTCTTAAAGATGAGGCTTCTTGTAGTGATTTCTTCTTGCATTTCAAAAGTCTAGATCAGATCCGACTTCGAGGGACTCATCAGAGCCATCAACTCAAACTTATCCAATGGAGCGTTTTGATGGATATCGAGTTTCTATCTTCTTCTTTTGATTTCATTTGTTTTTCCTTTATTCCGAGAGATCAAAATTCAGCTGCTAATATGCTTGCAAAATCAGCACTAATTCAAGCTACTCCTATGTACTAGACTGAAGTTTCATCTTTATAATTCATGTTTGTCGTTTGAAAAACAAAACAAAAAAGTGTCTGAGTTTTCGGTATATTATTATTGTTGACAGAAAAAAGAAAAAAGGATAAGAAATATCATAATTTGAGTTATATTATAGATCTATAGCTTTAAATGTATCTTGTGTATATAAAGATGCAATGAAGGACTAACAATGGCAAACAATAAATCAAATGAAAGATATTCAGTTGACCTCATTTAACTCTTCTAACAAATAGGCCATGCATTCAACAATAGATTTAAACTTCGACTCAGATCTAACACACCTTTGTAGAGTGTAAATGACGAGTTGTAAGGAAAGTTACAAGTTGATATAAGAAAGAAGAACAAAAATGATGTGAATGAAATGATATGCTGCTCTCAAGGAACAGAGTAGGTTGGTGTTACCTCAATAGACTTTCAAAATTTCCAAAATCAGGGATGTTTCCTGAATAAAACAAACATTATGAAGATATATAAGCATACTTTGATAAAATTTTGTACTGACTGATTTATACTGAACTTATCTTGATTACCTTGAGAGATCTAAGGTTTCAGGCAAGAGGCGACCCATTTGTTGAGTCAGATTATCCATATGTTTAGTATCGTCCCCTCTATTTTGTTTCTGCTCTGTCTCATTGTCCTTGTTACTAAGATCCAGTGGTGTTACATTCATATCATCTGGAACAGGGCTTGACATAAGAATGTCTTCAAGGAGTGAGGCGTATTCATCAACCGAAGGTTCTAAATCGGGATCCCTCGGAATGTCGTCAATGTCAAAGGGTAAATCACCATCGATGAACAGATCCGAATCTAGGAAAGAACTAAAATCTTCCATGTTTGGTTCCATGGAATTCCCTGAAGGCATCTCCACGATATTCCCTGGTAATACAGAAGTAAACTCGGGTAGAGATAGATCATCAAGTGAAGGAGTAGCTCCACTCAGTGATGATGATTGCATATCAGAAGCTGTTGGCATCTCCTGAAGAGTTATACCCGCTATGTTGTTCGATGAAATCTCCATCTCGGTTCCTAGTGTCGTAGTAGAAGTACCGTTACCTAGAAGGAAGCCATCGTCTCCGGTTTTGTAAGGTTCCATCTTCATAAGCTGTTTGAGCATTGCTTTTGCTTGCTCGTGCATTGGAGGTTGATATTTCACTATCTGCCCATCAGGAGAAGCAGACTCCTTACTACTGACAATGCCATCTCGCTTGAACCTCCGCTTCTTATTGGTATCACTAATTCGCCTACTACTCTCGTTATGCTGGTTCTGCTGATGTAAGAACTGGGATAGAAAATGAGGGCTTTGTACTGCCTTTGCAAGGAATGACATTAGTTGTTGTTGCCGATTCTCCATGCCCTGGAGACGCTGAACCATCGTTTGAAGGTTGTTATCAGTGGCTTGTTGCTGTTGTCTTAGCCTGACAAGTTCTTGCATAAGGACGTTCTTATCTCTTTTAAGCCTCTCCACTTCTTCTTCGAGACCAAATTTACCAACTTCAACACATGAACTAACAGATGGGTTTTGTCCATTCGAGGGCTGAGATTGCTGCAGTCCATGTCCATGTACATGGGTGTGAGCAGGTTTTCGCCGAGTTATTGATTTTAGCAAGTGTTTCTGGCCTCTTAAGAAACCTTCGTTCGCAAATTCCCATCTATCTGGGTCAACCTTCCGGAAACCCTGTTTCAAGGAAAGGCATGCAAAATGAAATGAAAATGGGTTCTATCAAAATAAATGAGAAAGAATTCGTCCCATAAGTTAACCCTATTAAGTACGAATCTAACAACTTAAACACAAAGCCTAACTGCCACCTATTCATAGATTCAAACTACCATATACAGGAAGTAACGTATTAGTTGATCTCACATGCTCCAGAGCAATATTCATTCAGAAGTCAAGTAAACGTAGCAGACAAAGTTGATCTGGTCAGCTGATGAAGCAATACACTGCTGAATACATGTTCCTATTATCAGTGTAACCTACCATCCAAAACCTAAAGGGAAAAAAAAACACAAAATATCCAATAGGGATCACTGATAAATAAGAGAGTAAAAGGTATCTGTGATATGCCAGTATAATCTTATATGTTAGAGTCTATATGAAATAAATAAATGAGGATATCTGCAGAGAAAAAACATCTTAAATAAGCGGATTATCTTGCAGGATTATTAGCATCCCTGCTCAAAATATTCGGCAGCCTAAGTTCCACCGAATACCCTACTTAAGATGTAGTTTCTATTCCAGGCACTACTGATCACATTGGCCTTTTTGGGTTTCAGAGACACTTGCTCTCTCCACTAAATCTTGACTTATTTACGACAGGATGATACATAGTAAAACAGAAAGTCAATAACCTTGAACTCAGGTCATTATCAACATGAAACTTGCTTCTTCTTCTTTTTTCCAAATTCGTATTTTCCTCGTTTATAATGCTGAGAATATTCAAAACGATTCAACTATCTTAGACTATTACTATACCTAGTAGCATAGAGTCTAGAAAAAAGAAAAAAAAAACACATCAAAGGATACAACTTTATTTCACTTTCACATCTCCAAGATGAAACATTAACGAAAAAAATCTTAAACACTACACTATCCAATCACTAACGCTTAAACCAGAGAGGAGACAAGAGACTTCATTACGCTATTCTAATCCAACTAAATTTGTATGGAGCGTAAGCTTCATCTATAACTCCATCAACTACACGAGGAATTGGCATTCCATAAAAAAAACCTGATAGACTCGTAAAAATTGCAAAACTGCTTTGCACATTACCTGGCTAAATGTCCTAATAAACAAGGTCCAATTGTTTATTGAAATTTGCAAACTAAACAACCACAAGATATCAATAAGATGAACCAGTAAAAGTATTCTCCATTGTACAAACTTACGTAGGTATTGAGCTGCCTGACGAAGCTGGAGAAGTTATTGTGCTTGAAGTTCTTGGGGAGAAGATGTTGAGCGAACTGGGGTGGATCCCATACGATGAAACTGTTGTTGTTAGAACTCCACGAGACAATCGAATCGGTAGCGGGATCGTCTATCATGTCATAGGTCTTGCTGAGAAACGGAGGAGGCGCGTTTGCAGTTAGAACCGCCACAGGCTGCGGCTGAGGAGGTTGAATCTCCGTCGATTCCATTGCTACAGATCCTCCTCCACTTTCGGCTCCGTCGCTTCTATTACCACCATCCATTGCGATTTTTGTAGCCAACAATAAGAAAGCGAGGAATTGATAAAGCCAAGGAGCGTTATTGGCGTTTGATTGCGGGTGAGAGAGCTTCAGTGCTTGATCTCCGTGAAGATATATTGAGTCTCTCCAAGATCAGAGGGTCAAGGAGAGAAATCTTTGGGGAGTTTTTTTTTTTTAAACGATTGAGGCAGGGAGACCCATGAACAGTTGCCAAATTACGGAAACAGACTTTTCGCTTTTTGTCTGCGTGTCACTTTGGTATTGGCTATTACGCTCTGTTTTATAATTCGCTGCGTGGCACGGCTACCCATCACTACTATTATATTAAAAATGAAGGCACATTTGAAAAATCGACTCATACAAGTTGTGTGCACCATTTATTAATATCATTTTGATAATTTGTTTCTTGGTATTACATCTATATATATATCAATTCATATAAATCATATCACATATTAAATATATCCGTTTTATTATCTCTATTCCCATTAATTACTCTAACCATATTTCATATTATATTTCATACATTTATATTATCATATAAACTTTATATTACGGTTTTAATCTATATATTAACTACATAATTTATATTATTATAATATAAATTAATTATATGGAGTTCAGTTGCTCTCATACTTATAAATGTTTACATATTTATAAAATAAATTGTGATAAATTGTAATTTTAAATCATAATATATAATTCAATATATTGTATAACAAAGCCAACAAAAATAATATTTTTTTTATCAAATAAAAATATACTAAATTATATTTTAATATAGTAATTTAGATATTATATTAAATATAATTTTTTATTCTTTTAATATATATTTTAATATTTTGCATTAATAAATTGAAGTATGTTGTAAACTCTTTGAATATTTATTGTCATGAATATGTAATTATTTTAATTTATAGTTTATAAAATAATTGTAATTAAGTTATTATATATATATTATTTATTGTAGTAATTTAATTATGAATATGAATAATGTATTTATAAATATTATAGTAATGGTATTTATTATTTAAGAAATCCAAATGAATTAAAATTAATTGTAATAATATTTAAAAGTACATTCTATTATTTAAAATAAATATTAAAACAATAAATATTTATATTTTACTGAGAAATATATTAAAAGATATTGTCAAAATGCAATATTAGAAATATCTTGGTAATATCTTTGATATCTGATTTTGAAACTATTTAAATAATGTATTAAGATCGTTATTCAATAATAACAAATTTTGTTATATGCAAGATAATTTCAAATATTTTCGTATTAACTTTTCTTCATATGTCGATATATCATCATTCTCATGGTGACATTTAATGGATGAGATACGTTTTGTTAAGAAAATATTGCAAAAACTATTTTCTATAATTATCTTCGTACTAAAATAAATGAATTACTTCGTATTAACTTTTCTTCATATGTCGATATATCATCATTCTCATGGTGACATTTAATGGATGAGATACGTTTTGTTAAGAAAATATTGCAAAAACTATTTTCTATAATTATCTTCGTACTAAAATAAATGAATTACTTCATCTACAAGTTTCTAAATTAACCACAATCAATATCATGGTTAGTTATTCTTTGTTTGGATTCCATAAATTTCGGTAACTTATTGTAGTTGTATTACGATTAACTGTTAAAGTTTAAACTTCTTAACTAATTCAAAATATCTTCAAGAAATATTCTTTATTCCTCGAAAGAGATATTTTTTTAAAATCGTCTAAATATTCTTTCCTACATTTGCGTAACCTAAATGTATATCATCCCTACTTATTATAAATATAGTCTATTTTAACCATTATATTCATAATTCATTGAAAAACTTAAAACAAAAATGGCGAATAATTTGCAGTTGTCGTGATATAAAACCGAGGAAGACTACATGTCGCATCCAAGTCAAAATCTTTCATACATGGAGACATTTCATGAAAGACATAGGGAAGACCATGGAACTAATCTTTTGTTATGCAAATGTAAGTTTATCGTTTTGTATAGATTTATGATTTATGTATCTTCATTCTGTAAAAGTGTAACCTAAATGATAATGTTTTCTAAGCGCGGGTCAAAATCTAAATGATAATATTCTTCCCTATATTTATGGAACAATTCTTCTATTTTTAAAACTATATTATTTTGAATCATAAATGTTAATAATTTTCTTATTGGTTAGTTTTCTCCCATTTTTATAAATTATCTCCATTTTTATGTATCTATCTAACACGAATATATTTTTATCTAGATGTTATTGGACAAGTTCAAGACTTAGGTGATCTGGAAGCAATAGGGTGTAGTGGTAGAAAACAAAATAAAAAGTTGGAGTTTAGTCTCGTGGAAACCATAAATTTTTTTTTTATGATTATAGTATAAAGTTAGTCTCCCTACCTATTATAAATTTCTCAAGCGCGGGTCAAAACAAAATTGCCGAAACATAAATAAACTATATAATTCGATTAACATATTTATTGGATTTAACTACAAATTTGGGTATTTTTAATAGTATTTATTTTTTTAAGTTTATTATAGGTCATGGACCCATCCAATTTTGGTTTAAATCTAATATGTGTTTTAATTCTTCAAACTCTCACAACACTTAATTTTCTGATTCTCTGTTCAACCACAAACTAACTCGGTTATGCAAACTAAATGAAAAGACCCTACTAAAACGTTAAATATACATCAAATTTCGTATATAAAACTATCATATAATAGAAATCGGATCATTTTATACATTTTGTTACAACCGAAACAAATCCGCGCTTCTCAAGCGCGGGTCAAAATCTAGTTTTTCCTTCTAATGAATGAATATTACACTTAGGGATGGGCAAATACAATAAAATAGGTCTATGCATTCGGGTCCTCGAATCCAATCTTGTCGTATCTGGATCTTTTGTCTCTTAAATTATAAGATTATTAGGATTATTGGGATCGGGTTTTATCTGATTCATATCAGTTAGGATTTTAAATAATTAGACCCAATAGTATTATTAGAAATTTGATGGTTCAGATCCGGTTTAGTTAAAGTCATTTCGAATCTAGTCCAAAAATAACTTAAAACACAAAAAAAATCTAAAATTTTACCCAAAAACATAAAAAAGACCAAATTTTATTCTATTATCTAAATTATATCTTTGTAAATCTAAAATTTTATCTCAAACCTAAATCATACCCGAAAACCTAAATCGAAACTTACAAAAAAAATACACATAATACCAAAAATATATTAAAACACTCATATATATCGAATATAGACTAGAAATTTCAGATATTTTGAAAACCTTGTCGGGTCTTGGATTTGGATCGGGTCGAATCCAAAACTCACAGATCTTCCACAACAAAACCCAATATGATAAAAAATCAGTTTGGTTTCTATTGAAAATAAAAAATTTATGATCAATTTCAGATCCGATCCTTGGGTACAAATAAAATGACCAGCCTAGAATAAAAATTAATTTCTTTACATTCCCAAACTAACCACACCCACACTCAATTTTCCCAATTTTCAATCTCTTTACTAAACTCCAACTTAATTTCTTCACTTATTTCCTTAAATTTTATTTTCCTAAACAATTCAAAAAATTCTCTAAATTTATTTTTAATTGCGATTAGTTATGTAAAAAACATTTAGGCTGGGAAGTTATACGATTTAATATATGTCAGTTAGCTACGTTATTGTATATGTATACACAGGGGTGAAGCTAGACAATTTACATAGTGGGTGCACAATCATTAATAAAAAAAAGTATGCAGAAAGAAGGGGTGAAACCCAGGTTATTGTGGGTGCACAATATCATTTTTCCAACAGATCCAACAGATTTTCTTTGTTTTCCTTAACACAAAAGTAAAGTATATAAATTATTATGGGTGAACAGGCCCCCATAATGTCTAACCTGGCTTCGCCTCTGTGGCACACATCTAAGGTTTTTCTAGTGAGAGCACACCAGCTTCAACAATTTACTTTTACCTTTTCTCTTTAGCTACGTAAACTCTAAATCATGATATCTCATTTTTTAATTGGTTATTTATAGAGTAAAGAGAGAAATAATTAAAGTAAAAATGAGAGGAAAATAATAAAGTGAGAAAGAGAGGAATTTTTTTTTTTTTTATCAAACGGTTCTTCTATTACTCAAACTTGAGATGGTTTGTGAAACCAGATCAGAATAGAACAACCAATGTAATACAAACTCCTGTAAAATGACCTTTCTATCTTAGCTAACGAATCAGACTATACATTTCTAGCTCAAGGAATAAAAGAAAAAAATAACTCTGTGAATCCACTCTTGAGTCTTGAAAACTCCTGCAATTCAGTGGAAAAGTTTGGCCATGCTCCTGGATCCCGTGTCATCGTGACTAGGTCCTTGCAGTCAGTACCGAACATCTGGCATGATGACCTCTACAGCATGCATTCCATTGCCCATAGAAAAACCTCCAATTTTGAGTGTAGAGGCAAGATTCTCCTACTCTGGTTTTTAGCTCCTAGAAGCTGGATTTCTCCATTTGAACCCTTCCATGTCCATCCACAACCACTGAAGAGTGTGTCAGGTGTCCATGATCCTTCAATCATGCATCTCCCTTAGTCATCCAAAGATTCTTGAGTTTGGCTCTCTGTTATTACCCTTTCAGGTTTCTTGTTTGCCTCAAATCAGGCATGGCATTATGCTTCTGCATGTCTGACAGTTTCCAATGGATCTCTATCTATCCCTTTTAATAGTTTGTCATTCTGAGCTTTCCAGATGTACCATATAATCTACGGGTAAGGGTCTTTATCAAGCTCAGGATCTTCAATATCAATTTTGCGCCATAATAAGTAGTCCACGTTTGTGAAATGGTCTGCACTAGGAAACAGTGCAGGTGGAGTTGGGGTTGCAGCTAAGGCCAATATTTGTAATGCCGGCGAACAATTAAATATCACATATTCATTATAAAAATTTAGAATATACATATAAATACATATTATATTATAGAAATGAGTATATAA